TTTGCGACTTGTGATCTTTTAAGCTCGCTGCCTGCACTCCTGATTTAGTCAGGATTCCGAAACTCACCAGTGGGTCGCGCACAGCTGCAAAAAAGTGCGCCGAGCCTCGGGACGCCAGCAGAGTGAGCAGCATAACATGCAAGTTGCAAGTGGCTGCGAGCGTCAGCATGCGACTGTGAACGCAAGCGGCTGCAAGGGTTCTGTACCGGGGTGCACGTTAGCATGTGGTTACAGTCTATCTCCGTGCGCGCAATTGCACGCATGTGTGTGTGTGTGGATGTGTGTGTGTGTGTCTGTGTGTGTCTGTGTGTGTGTGTGCGCGTGCATGTGTGTGTGTGTGTGTGCATGCACGCAAGCCCTGGTCGAAGGGCAGTATAAAGACTCGCGGTATCAATCAGCGATTGTATGGTATGAGCTTTGAATGCTTGACACAGAGCCTTCGACGAAACTCCAGCAAGTCTGACCCTCAGAACATTCTTGTAGCGAGTTAGGACCTGTTACGCAAGTCCATCAAGTAGATTGTGGCAACCGTGTCGGGTTCGTTCCATCCTTGATGTTCGTCGTGGCGCCGTCCAGCCGCTGCTGCTGCTGCTGCTGCTGCTACTTCGGCCGTCATACAGCCCGGGCCAAGAGGCTCTGTATGATGCAGCCAGGTAACGTACCTTTGCTTTTTGGAGTGGGCGGTGGCGGGTGCAGCTGGGGTCACCCAAATCCCCACTCCAGGGCACGCTCTAGCAACCTTAGCAACCTCTGATCAAGCCCTGCCCAGTCAGGTTTTGGGTTCTCGCAGACACACTAAAGATTCCACGATTCGACAAATGCTGCCTGGAGCAGTGAACTTGCTCCGTGGCTGCCGCGCAGTTTCCTAAGCGATTTTATGTGCGTATGTGTGCATGCGTGTCTGTGTCTGTGTGTGCGAGTCAGTGTGTGCCCGTGTCTGATGTGGCTTTGTCTTGTAAGCCGCGGCTGTCCCGAAGCTTCATGCCCCTTATCTAGCACCCATCATCTTGATCGGACTAGGACTGGAGGTTTGTGCACGAAGTTGTGGCAGTTAGCAGACATAGTTTTCGCCAAGGCGGCGGCTTGGGCGGCATAGGCACGGGCCACGATTTACATGTATTTACATGTCAGTATAATGCAGTAGTGTGCTACGAACTAGGTTGCCCTGGCATGAGTAGTTGGAAATTCGTCCAGTTGCACATTCCTTTCAGACCTCCAAGTTGCTAAGTTTCGGAATGATTGAATTCGTTGATCCGTTCTTTATTCTTTCTAGCTACTTGCCGGCATGATATCGCACGAAACAGACTCAGGGTACGCGAATGTGTGTGGCCGTATGGGCTACCAGCTCCTTGAAGCCGCATTGAGTCGAAAGCCTTTCAGGCCTATGCTGCGCCACCTGGTTGGCAGCGCATGCGTCTACTTTGGTCTTACTTGGGGGGAGAACACCTCGGCCAGAGGCAGGCTTGCGATGAAATGTTGGAATGTGGAAGTTAGGGATTGGGTCTTCGGCTGTGTCATCCCTGGCGTTTTGCACAGCTGCAGCAGGCATCCCATCGATTGGCGCAAATGACCACCAGCTCGTGTCAGATCTCCGTGCGCTACGGGGACCTTGCACACAGGTGCATTGTCGGGGCCGTTGAGAACCTCAAATCTTCCATTCGCTGCGGCCTTCGTTGTTTGAGCGCCACATGACGATTGCCCTGCATCTTGCACACGGTAAATGAATGCACTCACGTAGCCTCACCACGAACCTTTCCAATGTCTGAGAGCTGCTCTGGAACTTGCCAGTTTGGATCCGGCATCGGCGAACTCGACTTTGCAGGTTTGTTGACCGTTGAATCCGTTTGTCCTCTCGTTGCGAGGCTCAAGGTGGGGTTTGTCACCATTTCCACTGGCTGGTTTCCCTTGTGTTGAGCCATGTTGCATGGAAAATCCTTCGAGACTCTGAGCCGCGTGCCGCCTCCGCGAAAGCCAGAAGTAGCAGGGCTGGACGTGGAGGCGCTCAGTGGCCAATGTTCGACCTCCTGGCCCCGGAAGGACAGAAATAATCTTCAGAAGGATTCTCGTGTAGATTGTGCAGCATTCTAGCTTCTGCAGAGTGTGGTGTCTGTGGTGTGACCAGGAAGAGAGGCGTGCGGAGCCGGTGCCGTCACCTCTGTGGCCGGAGGCATGGCATCTCGTCCCCGAGGATATGATGTCAGCCAGCGACCTGTCGGAGACGATCTCCGTGATCACGCGGAAGTCATTCTACTCGGACGTAATGCCAGATGCATCCATGGCTGAGTTTGTGGATATCCTTCCTCCGAACAAGATTCTGCACGACATGCAAGATGTTCGCATACAGGCATTCCTCAAGGACTTGGTGACCCTGTCAAGCCTAGGGCCTAGTTTCGCATAACCCCTCAGCCTTGAAGGTTAAGGAAAACCAGACAGGCAATGCAAGTTTGAATGGTCAGTCGCATGTGCAAGGAAGCTTCAGCCATAATTTCCGCACTTTACATTGTTACTCCGGCCATTTGCATTTGCGCGAGGAAGTCACCGACTCACCGAAGGCACTTCAGTCCGAGGCGGATATTCGTCGGTTATTTTACATGTTGTTGCAACCACGACTTGTTCTCGTTCCTCTGGTTGTTTCGCCATTTTTTTCACCATTAACGTGCACGATCATTTCTTCATGAATCATGCTGCTCGGCAGTAAAATGATGATCGTGCTTGTTCGGTCCAGGCCATGTCTCTAGTTGCTCATATACGCAAATACCCACAACACGAAGCACATTGAACCACAAGGTCGAAACCTCAAACTTTATAGGGGCACTTTGCATCATTTGCTCGAAGGCAGGCTGTTATTCGTCGTCCCCTCGATAGAGCATGCCTGCTACAGCGCTTCACACCGCGAGGTGCTGCGTCGGCGCAAGGGCGCCCCGGTGGTATCTGAGCAGCCGCTGCTCCCGTCCATTTGGAAGATGCTGAATCGCAAGTGACGCCGTGAGGTCAGATTTCGAAGGAAATTGGACCAAGCCTCAGATCTTGGCTGTTTAGGTGCAATCCACAGCTAAGGCAGGCTGCGGCTCGTGGATAGCGAAGGCTTTCCACGACCAGATTTTAGTCGTTCAAGTTGATTTCAGGACGTCGGTAAGACATAAGCCGCGCCCGGGATTTGAGACGTCGTTGGCTTGATGGCTTGATTAAAGCCTGCTTATCGACGATTGGGGTTGTGTCGTTTGGGTGTTTGCCGTAGGATGCAGTTTCGAAATGCTTGGCCATTGATTGCCATACGACTTCAGAACGCATGCATTGGTCCGAAATGTCATTCTGCTGCAGGGTGTCCATCACCCTTGTTAGGTAGAAGACGTACTGACAGTCATAGCCAAGTGCGTCGCGTCTCAACTTCCGTGCGGGCCAGCAAGAACACATCCGACAACCTGCCCGGTTTTAGTGAAGCAGAGGTTTCTGCAGGACTTGCATCGCTGGTTTCTACAAAAGCATATGGCAATGGCAGTGATGACATTCCCGTAAGACTAGTCTTTCATGCAGAATGCTGCCAACATATGCTTGGTGGAAGCGGCTACCTAGGACAGGCTGCGCAGCCCCACATATGCATAATACATCATAAGGCGACAGGTGCCACACAAGAAGTTGTCAGACCGAGTGAGTCTTCAGTGGGGATCGCAGCCCTTGGCCTGCCAAGCTTGCTCTCTTGTACATCTACTCACTGTCTCCCTCTCTCTTCCTCCCTCCCTCGTGCTCTCTTTCTCTCTGTGTCTTTGCCGCTGTCCCTCCATCATTCTCGCTCTGTCGTGTCCCTCCCTCCATGTCTCGTTGCCCCACTGTCACTGTCTCCATCTACGTGCGCGCTTTACGTTTTGCCGACACATGCGATCCGATTCGCCGGTAAAGCTCGTTGCCTTGAGGAGGCCTGACACGTCTCGGGCGGTTTATTGCTAGCAACGTGCGGAGTGACAGTACGCGAAGTGTGCCCCTTTTTCGCTGTGTTTTCCTACACGCCGCCCTGCCACGCACCGACCTGGACACGTGTTGTGACACCCGGCCAGGGTTGCATGATTCTGAGCAAGCGCGTAGCATGCCCCGAAAAAGGAGAGTGTGCGCGAGGAACATATGAGTCATATGAGACCACAAACACCTACATTGACGTCAGAGTCTGGGAAACAGCATGCCGACTGGTGAGTTTTGTTCAGCTCCCTCGAAACCACATGGCAACAAGACAGGGCCAGAGATTTGCTCGTGCAGGTCCTCGATCGCCGGTTTGCGCGATCTGCTGTTTGGCCAGGAGCGGCGAGGACAGCCCAGAGCTCCGTATCCGCCTTGAAGGCACAAGAAGGCCCGGCTCTCTCGGAGGCCGCAGGCGAGGGGAAGGTATGTTGACAGCACCTCGGCTTCACGGTTAACTTGGTCAGTGTTTCGCAGCCAAGCCGCAACTGTGGTCTGATCAGACACATGGTGGGTTTCGACAAACCTTTGATGGCTATTGCGGCTCGAAGTTGCAATTTCACAAACTGTGGCTTCCGAGAAGCTGACATGGCAGCGCCCGGTAAAGCCGTCCAACAACGATAGTAAACAGTCAGCTTTGGCATTCGGGGTTGGACACGTTGGGGTTGGGTTTTCCGATTCCAAACCGTGCCTGCGAGAGCCATGCCGTCGACAGCAAGGGGAGTCTTCACAACATCTCTGAGTCCACGTCCCGCTGACGGCACGACGAGGCTACTGGGCGCATGACAAGGTCTGGCAATGGTCATAAAGCCGAATGAAAAGCCGCGACGTTGCAACCTGACAGGCCCGAGGCCCTAAACATAAGCCAAGCTAAGCCTCTGTGTTCACTACCCGCATGCCATATTCCAAGCACTCGCAGTTGCTCCGGCACAGACTGATCAACGTGCCTTGCACTTGGACACAAACATGCAGGTCACTGTTGTCTTGCATTAGTTTGCATCAGCAACTGGCATTACGTACAGGTCGGAGGTTTGCAATGTCTGGGTTCTTCGCACAGACGTTGCAACCAACGCAGACTGCAGGAACGAGCGCCGCTAGAATGCTGCCGTCGCAGATGACGCAGCTTTTTTTTGTTCATTTCATCTCTGTTCCCTGTGCTGACTTTGTCCCTTGACTCTCCGATGACATCTGGTCATGTGCACCTGACGATGTGGATGACATTGTGTCTTGACGCCACACATGCGAGCTGTGATGCTCCGGAAATGCGACCCACTTCGTCCCCTGTGAAGCGCCGTTGCAGATGGGACCGCTGGTTGCATAAGTCACACTGCGAATTTCCCGAAGATGTAACAAGTGTTTGCAGCTGCATTTCGTGCTCATACTTTCTTAGCCTCGCTGTGTTGCTAGGCCGACCCCCTGCTGTGTGTGCCCGGTTTACTCTGAACACGTCGAGGCCGTTTTGAGAATGGATTTGAACCTTTGTGCAGAACGACCATGCGTTGGGTCGGTGTGACACACACGCTCACACTTACGTTGAATGCAGGAGAAAGGGATCTGACGATGGTAACCGTCAGCTGGCCGAGAGAACGCGGATTCATCTGCACCACTCTTCCGCGATTTGCTTCGGAGGGCTCGAGGCCTGAAGCACAAACATTTCCTGAAAGAAAAGGTCGTGCTCTCGGTGCTAGAGAATTCCTGGGATTGTGAACTTTTTCTGTCGGAGCTTTGTTTCGGGGCGCTCCGCGCGATAGATAGCGCACGGTTAAATAATGAACACAACTATAATCATAATAAAAATAATAGTAATAAAATAAAAAATAACAATAACAATACTAATTATAACAATCATAACAATAATAATACATCAGGGAAGAAACGAATACCAGAGCTTGCCGTTGTGAGAGGCACAAATGAAGTCGAATGGGCATTGGCCAAGTCGCGATTCCATTCGTCCCATCCGGCCCACCCTTTACCAGTGGGTTTTCTGATATGTGTGTGCCACTGCGTGCTTTTCCAGATTTGAACTATCTGGGTCGGGCTGTGTGCACGGCGTCTCCCCATTGAAGCTTGCAGCTACAGGTTGCAAAAGGCGGGTTGCATCTGGGCTCAGGGTTGCTCTTCAAGCTTCCTTTTTGGGTGGTGCTCGAGATTTGGGATTGTGAGTATGGATTGTGCAAAACAGTCTGACCGCGATGTGTATCTCGATGCTTCTCATCGTGTCCTGTCCCATCAACCGTACATGGTGAGATTGCCAGCCATCCGAACCGCTCCCGTTGACGCAACTTCCAAAGCACCGATACCAACAACTCGCAACGGAGCAACCTTTGGCAACTTCAGCCAAAATTCGACCGTGAAACCACGTGTGATGCGCAAGTATGGGTCTCGATCGGTGTTTCGAAACCGCTGGGTGTATGCGCCTGCACGCTGGGTGCTGCGCATGCTGGTGATAGTTGGCTAGTGTGCGCTACGGCCGCCTTGACTCGGTCCTCCGACCTGCTGCTAGTCCGGACATGGGTGGCGCTCCAGCAACGTCGGGACCGTTTTCATGGGAAGGCAGCCCGGCCGGCCCACCAGAAGCCATGAGAACACTCTACCGGTCTTGCTGTCGAGGAGCTTCTCTGGGAGGCCTATGAAAAAGCAGGTTTGTTTTCAGCGTCCCCAACTGTACACACGCGAGTGTGGTTTGAAAGTCGTTCCTTCCATGCCAGTCTGGAAGATGGGTGTCAAGATGTTGAGGAATGCCTGCTAGTTACGTCATCATGTGTCTGGCGGTGTTTTCCGTACTTGTTTTCGGCAATCTTACGCACCTTTACAAAGGTGCTAGAACCTCGGTCCTGGAAGTGAGCATAGAGGCATAGCATTGAAGAAACCGAAGTTCTTGGCCTTCGGAGGTTCGGGCAGGAGGGTTGTGCCCTGTGCCTTTTCTGAAAGCCCCTCCGGTCCTCGAGGCGGTCATTCCTAGAAGTGGAAGCGGCCAATGGAGAGGAGACTACGCTGCTTGAAGGACCGAAACCAGGGGATTTCGTGGTATTATACCTCAACCGTTCAACCTCGAACCTTGGCTTGGTTCTCGCGACCTCATGAGCCCTATGCCTTGATCCTGCAGTTCCAGAGGGGTCTTCTAAAAGGGGCGGACTCCAACAACAAAGTGCAAAGTGAGTCTCCGTTATATCAACTCTGACTCTGCCAGTGACTGTGGCTCTTGCTGCTTTGCTGGTTCTTCACGCTTCCGCCGCGGTTCCGACCTGTGGTCGAGTACGTCCTAATCAACCGGGAGTCATCGAATTTGCTGTTCCCCAGGGCTGTGCAAGGGCTGCCACGGTTCATGGTTGATAATTTAGGTTTAGGGGCCCCTACCTGCAGTTCAAGAATCGAGTTGGAGTCTTCCTGCCTTTTTCGTGACCTTGGCCCGCTGGAGGAGGGCTGGCAAACCCTTACCTTGGAGCAATCACGGAGTCCTGTGACATTGCTCTGCAGTCGCCTCGCATAGCGACGGATGTGGCCTGTTCGCATGGGTCTGTACAGTGAACGCCACCATAGAATCTGTGGCGCTTGAGATTCTGTTCAGGCATTTAGGATTTCTCATTGTGATCGTCGATCTGCCAGTCGGTTCAGGGATCTCGTTGCCCTTGCGGTTCCAGGCAATCAGGCCAGCAGCCAGCTCAGACGGATATCGCCCCCAACCTGCCAAGTACGATTCGTTTTCTATCGGTTGAGGGTCGTTCAACAGCCTCGGGCTGGCGATTCATTTGCAATTTGGGCTGCAACATGCCGAAGCTGGGATCTAGTGATTTCCTAGGACTAGGATTCCTTGCAGAGGCCACGGTCTGCTCCTTCCACCGGCTGTGCCCGCCTCAGACTCTCAGTCAGAACCGCGGTTTTTTTCAAAAACACTCAAGGAGGCCAGAGAAGGCGTCAAAAGCGTTCAGAAACTTTTAAGCACAGCGAAGCACATCAGAAAGCAACAAATTCACAATGAAAGCGCGGGGCCGGCTCACGTTCTTCCCGTCCCTGAAATCCCACACCGTTCTCGGCACTCGATTTGAATCACATGAGAATGTTATTCTGCAATGCTGATGTTCTGGACATCGTTTTGCTTGTTGTGTCGTTGGGTTTGCCTTGTGCGAGGCATGCTTCTGAGTCCTTGCAACTGCAAAGCTACGGTGGGCGGAACTGCCCGTCTTCTCACCGTCTACCCGTGTCACTAGCGGCTGCTAGCGTCAAACTCACAGTCCGCAAGGCGAGCAGTGCAAGAAACGGTTAGTCAGTCACGACGACCTCAGACAGGTATAACTGTCTCCGCTCAGAGGAGCAGAGCGGCAGTTCTTCTTGTTGGCCAACCCTATGCCCGAAGGACCACCATGCAGCAACGGAAGCGCCAAACTGCAATGGAAGCATGTGCAGCAGGGTGCAAGTGTTGGTATGTCGCACAGCAATCACTGCGTGTCCTTCCACAGGGAAGTCTTTGTTTGATCAACGGGCAGTTTTTGTGCACGAAGAGTTTGAGTCGTCCTAGAGGTTTTGCTGTGATTAGTTCTGAACTGGTATTCTCGGCCTTCTCGCAGGCTCTACATCACTCTCCTGGGCTGCTTCGTGGTTGCTGCACTCGTGACATCGCCGTTCTCTTTGAAGCAGGCATTCATGCACATAGTCGTTTGCATGCACCCAAGCTGTTGCCAGCTTACCATGCTCCGTGGTGGGCTGAGACTGCAGCTCAGTGTGACCAGCACATCTAACTGTTGAGCCAGGAGGAAGAATGCAACTGTAATGCCGCATGGCGGGGCAACCTTGTAACCGGAAGGTCCATCCTCCGCTTTGGTCCAGTTAGGCTCTGCAATCTCCGGTGGCCAGTTTCCAGGGGGGACCTGCCAAGTTTCACAGCCTGGCATTTCGCGCTCCCGCACTTTTTCTGCCAGCTCAAAAAGCTTCAAGAGATGCCAGGCAAACCCCTGGGGTCTCCTGGCGCTCTTTCTGCCGAAGCTGGATCAGGTGCCGCCCAAAGACGAGTGGATTGCCGCGGCCGGGATGCATCCCAGGGCCCGCCGTAGGGGCCTTTTCCTTCAGGTCCCGGTGTCACAGTGTTTTTACAGAGGGTTTTTTTTTCTGTGTTGTGACTGGCGAGACTGGCAGAAATATGTTTTGAGTTAGGGCGATTCAGAGGGCTGTTCGTCGGGACACATGATAAAGACAGTGCTAGATGTGTGTCACGCCAGTGGCAAGCACCGACATGGTAACTCGAACATCTGCATACGCATGGACACATGCTTGAGAGTAGATTGGGCTCCGTTCGTGCATAGTGATGGACCGCAGCTCAATCCAACTTCCAAGGCTTGCTCTCTCTCTCTCTCTCTCTCTCTCTCTCTCTCTCGCTCTCTCCAGTAAGTTGTTGCTGAACCGGACATGTTGACTCGCAGTCAGCTGCCAAGCTACCAAGAAGGAAGCCACTCTACCAAGCATAGCACATGTAACTCTCGACCTGGTTGGGGTCTACCTGCTCTTGTTTGTGACCTTGCTCGAATGTAAGGTTGTTTCTCATTGGTTGTCCTTGTGGGAAGTCTCGTGGCACGGTGACACCCGTCAGATCCCAAGAAGCCGCCCTTGAAGTCCGCAAGCTCAAATGCACATCCTTTGTGCGATCTGAGCCTTCAAACCAGGACACCTGGGATCACTTCAAGATGCCGCAGTGTGACTCTGGCCCCATGGATGGGGCCGTCCAGAAAGTCAAATACTGGATCAACGTGGCTGGGCTGAGAGGGTTGACCGGTGATTCGGAAAAGGCTCGTAGCGGCACCGTCAACACGGACCGCGTGATATGGCTCATTGAGAGGACGATCCTCCCAGTTAAAGAACAAGCACTTGGCTTCCGGAGTTTTGCTTTGAGGTCTTAGTAAGCAGTGACGAGGAGCACTCCGGAAGAAACTCGCTGCGGCCGGCAATGGGAAGGATACATACAGCAGGCTCAACCTACATATGTTTGCTCTGGTGATAGGCCGGCATTCTAAGGAATCGACCTGGGTGAAGCGGAGACCAGCAAAGAAAATGCCAGGGAAATGGTGGCTCTTTCCCAACGAGTCGGGCGGAGGCCCCGTCGGACTCCGATGTGAGAGCATCTTAGCATCTTTCCCAAACTCCAGCCCGGCATTCGCAGGTCACTGGGTCCCGGGCCACATGGTGCCGGCCGAACCAGGCGCGTTGGACAGTTCAGAGACATAACCCCAAACTGTCCTGCTCTCCAAGAACTCCGAAGCACTCGCTTGCCGTTGCGCAAGCCGTCTCCATCTTAGCTTCTCCGTGTCTGGGTTGCGAACTGGCCTTAGCAGCCTTAGCACATCATCATTCGGATCTGGGCCTTCAAGCTTCGAGAACTCAGCCGGATTCGTTCAGTTTATGCCTTCGTCATCCTCTGGCTTTTCGAGAAGGTAAGTGATCCCAGTTTTCGCCTGGACGAAACACGGTAGAAAGCAGCTGGCCTTTGGGCCGCTTGTCCGCAGGCCACTATGAGTACAAGATGGTACTGCACCACAAGTCGGTGCCACGGCCAGCACATGCGAGGAGTGTCGGATCAGAGCTTCGAAGTCCAACTTGACCGAGAGTTGTGAATCATAAGCTCTACCGTGTGTTTTCATGATGCGACCTGTGAGCACTTTCCAGTGCGCAGTTGTCTGCAGGTAGCTGCCAGCAGTTCCATTCAACCTAAAGCCTGGAAGCATGTGGGCTAGAGGCTTGCTGCGAAAGTGTCGCCTGTGGGGGGTGGTTCAGGTGCCTCTATATCGGACGCCGCAGCAGGAAGCTTGCGTCGCGAGTCGGCGGAGTCTCTGCTCGACTTCAGTTTGCAAAGGCGTCGTCAATGCATATCTCGGTTTATGTCGGCAGCATGGCTGTATAATCCCTGAACCGCAAGAAGAACAGATGGACCGACGAACAACACATGCGTGTATGGATAATTATGGGCACGAAGATCACTAGATTTCCAATAGGCGAGAAATCGGCAGGTAGACGAGCATAGGTGTCCGAAACTCTGCAAAGCTTTCTTCCAGCAATCACTCTCGGCTTCTCTCTCTGTCTCCCTCCATTCCGCCATTCGCTTATTTTCGTTCAGGTGATGTCCGTGTGCGGTCCCCTTGCGTCCAGCGATGGGCAACAAGAGTCTGGCAAACCCAAAAGTGTTCGTACGCCCGAAGGACAGCCAACGATCTCCATCAGAAGCTGATACAGCAGCACAAAGACTTCCTGAAGAAGCGTGCAGAGATGGAGGCAGGTTCGAACGAAGAGTGGGCTGTGGGGGTGAGTCGGGGTGTTTTGGGGACCGCTCGGACAGTTAATAATCGCCGAAATAGCCCAGTTTTTTCGGGCAAGAAGAGCCCTTAGCTCTCCTTAGCTCCTTCAAAGATGGGGCCGGAATTTCAGAGCAGAGAGCGCCTCGAGCCTCGACGCAGCTTCTACGCGGGCTTGGACGCGGGGCGCCACCGGTCCCTGCATTGCCTCGCATGGATCGGTTCGTGTTTCTGAGGCACTGAGGAAAAGCTACATTTCTTAGCCAATGACCGTCTTTCAAAAGGCTCTCAAGGTGAATAGCAGATGTCGGCAGAACGGATCCGACATGCTCCCGACACAAGGGCTTAGAGGCTCAGATGTCCACGAAAGACCTCCAAGCCGAAAGCTCAAGGAGTTGCTCCAATGGCAAGAGAAGCACCACTGTGACGCGCTGCTCGGCCGAGGGTTTCTGCTTTCAGAGCTTCGGGCCTTTTGCACGCTGCATGGGTTGCTGGGATTCCTCACCTTCAGTCCGCGCTGTCTTTAGGACGTGGGCAGCGCAGTCTCAAATCTGAAACCTTGGCTCAATGTGAGACCGTAAACCGCCCATGAAGTTCCTTTGAAAGCTTTGGCACCATGAGCGCTCCTCAGTGTGATTCGCCCGGGTATGGAAGGCAGACAGCCAACGTGAAGTATCACCTCCGCAATGGTGGCACGGAGATGCAGGAGCCCGATGGTGCACCTTCTGGTGCTATGGACGGCAAGAACATGAAGTTTACCACTGTTGGAATTGTTGTACTGTTTGGGTCCCTGCTGCTTGCGAGGGTTCCATTAAATGTTCAGGGTGCTGGAAAAGGGATGCCTGGTCTTCCGGCGGAAGTGGTGCATCTATGGCTCAGGTGCGCACTGCCAGCGAGCCTGCACGGTGAAGCGATTTGTCGCCTGGCCAAGTTTTGTATACAACTTCTAATGTAGCTGGTTTCTGGAATGCTGGATGAGTTCATGTAGGGTCCCCGAACACTGGTTGACACCTGATTCTAAATTGGAGCTTTTCTGCCAGCCTCCAGGCTCAGTAGATGACGTGGCTTGATGCTATGACTGCCAGGGTGCGAGCGATCGGACACGAATAAACTGTCTATGTCGCCAGCTGTGTCGGCACATGTACTCGTAGTGAGGCGTAGTGTGCTCATTGTCTTGTGTCCTCAGGGTGTTACTCCCCAAGCAAATGTCTTCAAGCTTCAATCCCCAGGCTGCCTACACCTGGACCAAAGAGGACGGGTGCATTCTCAAGAAACCACGCCTTTTGGCAAAAACAGGGAGGCTTCCGGAGCGTCTTTGAGCTGAGCCTGGCTTTGGGCTACGACACGGAATAGCCATCATACCGGAAACTGAAGCTTGTCCCAGTCCAGTCCATGCCAAGGCTCCGGGACATCATGGCAGGCCTCTAGGGGACGGGAGCTTGATACGAAATAAGGTTTAAGGCGGGTTGCAAGCGTTGCTGCAGCAGGCGAGCCCATATTCAAACTATGTATGAGCTAGATCCGGTTAAACGGTTATCGTATCGATCCAGGCTCTGTTGCACTATGTTGCACTCATGCAAGGACAGTGCCGGCGGCACTTATCTCAACGTTTTCGTGATGCGCTGAAATGTCGATGGCAGTCCATAGATTGGCAGTCAATTTTGGCGGGGCACAGTGGCAGCCTCGCCTTGCCTCACCCTGCGTGAAAGATGGTCCCCCCCGCAACAAGAAAGACAGGCTTGTACCACAAGTGGATTTGTTCCCTTAGCCGTCTTTTTCGGTTGAGTCTCGTTGACAAATCTAGTCAAATTAGGATGTTGATGCATTGCCTGCTCTGAACCCTGAAGATAGCACCGCCCGGGATCACGAATGCCCCAAAACCATCCAACATCTTTCGGTACTAGAAGTGGCGTGAATAAAGCAGAGGCATCCCAAATCCTCCTCCTGTCCCACCTAGATCTTTAACTTTCGAAGGCGCTGCCGCAGACGGGAGCCTACTCGGGTTTCGGCTGTGATGTGGAAGAGGTTGCCTCAAGCCAGTGGATTGCAGACGAGGCCCTTCCGCATTCTGGGCCTTGCGCCTCGTGACTTTCGATTCGGGACCCAGGTTTCAGTGATTCCTAGAGTCTAGTCGCAAGGCAGCCTTGCCAAACTGCCACAACCTCAGTGTTTCTGATCTTTAAAGCTGTCCTGGCAAACATACCGCAGGCGCAGAAGCACACACTCCTCGACGGAGTCCAGCCTTCGATGGATGCCTTGGTTGGACATGGGACTCCGGGCACCGTGCTTTGCGTGATGTGCCTGTGATGCAAAGTTTCCGCGAAGTGCAATTTGATGGATAGTCGACCACGTGCAGCTAATCCAGAGCGTCCATCCCAAAGGCTGAACGATTGCTGACATTGGGGCCCTTAGGGTCTGTGCCCGAGAAAGCCCTCCAGGATTCCTGTGGGTTTTTACAGCGCTGAAAAGAATTCAGGTAAGGCATTAACAACCGGAGCAGTACATTGGCAACGGTCTTGACGAAACACGGAAATCCCGTGCCCTCCACCCAAGACGTTGCTTTTGTCAGTTCCTGATCTGAAATTTGAACATTAAACCTGACGCCCAGTCTGTTTCTTTGAATCCATGCATGGCACTTTCCTGAGTTTGGAGGGTGCCATGATTCGAGACCTGACCGGTGCAAGGCTCCTGACGCCGTATACTGCCAGTGTGGATGTCGTCTCAAGCTCAGCTGCGAGGGCACCCAACCCAGGTGAACCAAATACAGAAGCCGATTGCAGGGTGTTCGTTCAATACGACGGTTTAGAGTTTGAGTTCGTTGTCGTGGAGAAGGCGGCACAGCTTTCAAAGCCATGCCGGCCAGGCGGTATTCCTCAGCACCCTAGGAAACTAGTCAACGTGCAGGCCACTAACAACAGCAGGTGCATAGGCTTCGTGGGTCCAGGTGCTGATGCAGCAGCGCACCAACTCCGGGATCTTCAAATGCTGCTCGGACAGACATGTGAAAGCTCTAGAATTGACAACTGGTTGGACAGTCAGACGGCTTGTGATTGGGACCATCGTGAAGTTTCAATTGCTGGGACTGCGACATAAGCAGAGTCAAGACCCAGAGGAAGGTTTCATGGATTTAAAGACGCGTATGAAATGCACAGGCGCTCAAGGGCTGCCACAAGCGGCATGCTGTTGCCTCCTGACAGGGGTCTTTGAAGCTGAGGTGACCAACATGCCATTTACAGTAACCAGAAGCTACGCCTCGCGACTGGCTTGACGACGTCCTAGCCTCAGAACATTCAGAACATAGGCTCGCTGCTTTAATCCGGAAGTTCTGCTTGCAGTGGTGGCGCTTTGAGGGTCTGCTGCCGAGGCGACGGATCCACGATTCTCAGCTGGTGGAGATTGGTGGCCAGTGGAACACAGCCTCTTGCCGTTCACTGATCACTGGCGAAGCTTCGGCATTCGAGCCAGCATAGAAGCCTGAACAATTACCAATACTCGTCCTTACGGTTTAAGATAGTGACAGCATGATATACCCCCAAACCCTAGTCGAAATCTTGATGCAGCTAGTCTTGGACGTTTCAGGTTGTAGAGACGTCGAGACAAAAAGCCAACAGCCCTTCGATGGGCGAACCTGGCGAAACTTTGCATAGAGAAGTGTAGATGATGATCTAGCTAAACCTGGCTCATGGGCCCGATGCCAGGCTCTAATGGCTGCGGGTTTTAACATGTGGAGCTGCAGGATCATGGGTGTCGACGCAAGTTATGTAAGAGGTTTCATGACCTCGGGCCCGAACAGCAATCAAAACGTTAAGGGATTCGAGGCATAAAAACTGTCGAGAGGCCTTAGACACAGACCTGGCGCTGGCCTTCTGGCGAGCTGTGCTGAAAGATCCGGAGTGGAAGCAGGCAAGGGGCAACATGCTTGATCCGTCCGTCGTCTCCTTTGCTGATCCACCTAAATAGGTGAAGTGGATCGTGCAAACATCGCCGGAGACGGTCTTCAACTTCGGCATGCTCAAATCAGTGCTGCTCAAAGAGGCGTGCCCAGGGTACAGGGGCAAGCTTTGTATTAATTAGATGTATTACGGCAGCATGATCCTCGATCGAGTTCTTTGTTGTGGCCACTACACGGGGGCTAGAACAAACTTTGTCGGCGATGCGAGTTCAGAATAATAGTTACATTTGGCAAAGGTAACCCACCAGGACCACAGTGCCGTGCTTTTGTTGCGGGTTGTGCCTCTCTTCCGCCTTCTGAAGTCGTGCTCAGTGCCGCGAACATCTGTGTCCAAACCGTGTTCGCATCACAGTCCCGTGCGTTTCCGCATCCCGGAAGCCTCCTGGAATGGTGCTTGGGTATCTAGGCCCCAAGGCTTGGACGGCTAGGTGGGCTTTCACCGTTTGGGGTCCATAATTGCGGGCATGGTCAATTACCTGCCCGATAACTTCCGCTCCAATCAACAGATGCCGGAAAGTCCACCGCGATATTTTGGGCGCTTGCTGCGAGTTTCAGGCAGCAGCAATTTCGATAGTTTAAATCATCTTCCAAAGCAACGGGGAAGCGATCAAGTCCCTGCCTTGCTGTGGAACGTGAGTCGTGAGTCGCAGGAGCAGCAAAGTGGCCCGGACGCGAAGGGCACCTACTTAGCAGCTCCTGGAATCACCGGATTCCCTCCTTTCTTCCAGGCAAGGTGGGGAAGCTAGGAACAAACAGGAACCAAATGGCTACCAAGGATGGAGCCCTCCTGGAGTCCACTTGTTGCAGAATTTTTGGGTTCCTAGCAGGTCTTAACCTTTCACAGTGATGAGGTTTCGCCTTCTCGTCGAAGATCTTGTTGTTCTTGCGCGTCGTGCAGCGGAGATTCTGCAGGTCTTGTCACAGACAGCTCTCAAAAACTTCGGCCTGATGTCTCGCGAGTGCTTTTGGCAAATGAGATGCCGCTCTGCTGCCTTTGCAGTGCTCCTGGATTGCTTTGCTACACTCGTTGAAATTTGGTCCCATACCGTGCACTGCCCGGACCAAGAACTTTTGATGGCAAGTAGGTCGATTCAGCCTGCAGCCAAGACTGGGGGAATGAGCAGTGGCCACAATCAATGTGGATGGACAAGTGACTTGTGCTGAAATTGTCAGTTGCTCGTCAAGAAGTTCCCCGCGGCCTGTCCTTGCACCAACTGATATGCGTCTAGAACCTCCAAAATCCGAAGGCAGACCAACTCCTCGAGACTTTTAGCTCAAAGGGTATTCAAGTGAACCAGAGCTGTCTTAGGCCAAGATCCTGGCCTGAAGGTGAGATAGTATGTTCTCTGGGTCCAAAGTCCAGTCGAGTGCTGACAGCGGGCTTTTTCAGGTGCCTCATGGACACAGTCCATGCCAGGCACGCAACTGGGGAGCCATGGGACTAAATTCTCGCCGTCTCTAGTACTCTCTAGAAGAAAATTGAAACATCGGAGGTTGCCGGGAAGAGGAACCTCCATTCGACAACGAGAGTGTTTGTGAGTGATGCATGTGTTGCTCGCCAAAGACACGTCTTGTTGTCTTGTCAGTGTGCTACGGTCGACTGCGTACTTCAGGGACGACGGTGCGGGATTCTTGCGCTTCATGGGTCAGGAGACCCGTGCTCAATGATCTGATCGGCAACGCAACCGGCCTCTCGAAAGCAGCGAGGAACACCAACACCCTTATGGCGGCACCGGAAATTCGAAGCTTGAGGCGCTACTGTAGGCACAGGAACGCATGCACCTAGCTTAGCATCCCTGAAGCTATGGCGACTGGGGGCGGGTCAAAGAGCAGCTGCCCGATGCTTCTCAACATCCTCTACCTCCGGTCGGGAAGAAGAAAAGCTACACGTGTGCGAGTCCTCACATGCTGGAATTCAGATCGGCTCTACATGATGTGGCCATGCGGCTTATCACGTCACCTTGCCTCGACAAGTGCCTGCGAGTGGGACACTCCGCCTCTGATTCATTGCTCTGTGCATCTGAGGAGCAGGAGCGTGCCTGTCACCACACTCGACAAGCTCCATTGCTCATCATCCTGTTGCCTTACGAGAGCAGAGGCGGGTGCTTCATGAGGGCGAGACCATGCTGCCTTACTGACAGTGTTGACTTGGGTTTCGGTTTGGAAATTGACTTCTTCACGATCGTAGGGCTAGCCGTCAAAGACATGACCATGCTCCTCGAAGGGTATGCTTCGAACATGGCGGGGATGAGTTTACCCACCAGAAGCTGAAGAAGTGATGGCGCCCTTGTGGCAAGAAGTCACTGTTGTCTACCTCGTGCCAGCGTGAGTTAGTTGTGCGAAGAAATTTTCTCAGTCGGGTTCCGCAGTTGTGCAGCTCCAACTCCGAGGAAGCCATCCAAATAAAGCATGGGGTCGGCAGCTCGGTTCGTGGCACCTGGGTTTTGTTGCTCGGGCACAGACTGCAGAGTTGAACCTTCGCGCCTTCGTATACAAACGGCAATGGACACTGCAATCAATATATTATATGTAGCGGACTTGGCTGTTACATGGCTTGATCCAGACGAACCAAATCCGGCCAGCCCACCCACAACATAACACTATACACAATGCAACGCACACAACTAAGGTGTACGTGCGATTTTCGCCCGACGCACATGCGCCCCCTTTGTCAAGCCTGCATACACGGTTTCGGAGGCCGCGCGTGCGGGGGCGCAGTCGTCGTTCCCCAAAAAAAGCCTACAGGAGGAAGGCAGAGCCCTAAAATTCTTCCAAAGGAAGCCGAGGAAGGCAGAGCAAACTGTGGAGGTGGGAAGGCCTAGGCCCTGAGCCCTTACAGTGCCTAAGAGGAGTTTGGGTAGAAAGCCGGCGTGGCTGGCAAAGCCGTAAACCCGAAAGGAGGTGCTGGGTGGGAGGCCCTCCTGCCCTAGACCCTCCGTTTTCGTGCCGTGAAGTGCGAACACATTGGCTTTTGCCTGCTAAACCCGACGTTAACCCTCTGGTTTGGTGCCCGAAGTGCGCACACAATGGTGTTCGTGTACCGGACCCTGTGCGCCCCTTAGACGGGCGTTTTGCTGCGTGTGCCTTACATATTATTTTGGCGTAGCGCATGCCCATTTGTGCTAATGTGGCGCTCGGTTTCATTGTGTGTGACCGTCTTTGATGTGAAGTTTCCCGGGCGTATTCCGTTTGGTCTTGCTGGGGTGACCCTCTTCAACTTGTCACGGTCCGATGTTTTCTTTTCCTACGTTTGGCCGGCCGTTTTCTTAGGGGTATTTTTTCCCAGGTGTGGCGGGAGGTCCTGCGGTCTGGTCCTCGAGCGTCCTTGTCCTCGTCCTCTGATCCATCCCTTGCCCGTTATTTTTCTATATTTGGCGAGGTATTTTTCCTTGGTGTGGGGGCTCTTCTGACCCAAACAATGGATTTCATGTGCAGCCCTTGGGGTACAGTGTTAAGAATGGAGTACAACAGAGCGCAGTATGCATGTGTGTATGCACGCATGTATGTTTGTTTGTATTCATGCATGCATGCATGCGTGCATGCATGCATGCTTGCGTTGCATGTGCACGATCCAGATTACAAGGGTTATCAAATGCAGTATGACGTTCTTAGCTCACGTCCTTGCTGCTAGATGCTTGAGGTGCTCAAAGCAAGTGGCGAGACATATGCAAATTCGGGGTGCATCCGTGAGGGCACAGAGCTGTTCCTCCAAAAGAGGGTCCCCACGATAGCTCAAAGCGTCCGATACAGCTCTCGCTCGACATGGGATCCGCTTTTGGTGAATTTTCAAGTTTGGACGGGTGCTGAGGATTGACTGTGCTGCCTCGAACTCTCGCCATGCTGTTCACTCTCATGCCGAACCTCTCAGTATCATTGCTTCCCGAGCGACAGTAGCGACAGTCGTGGCGAGTGTTGAAATCTTGCACTCCATCTTAGACTCTTTAGAAGTCTCCCTAAAGGGGAGCAAAACCTGGAGACCCTGTGCGACTGCGAGCTCACAGCAAATGCTCCTGCGAGGTCCTTCCTTTGAAATTGTCATAGGCTCCCTGACTCACTACAACCGTGGGTACAGGTGTCATCGCACAAAGAGTGGCAAAGTGGCAAGTTGGGAACCTGGAGCTGTGGGACATAGTCATCAATGTGCTTGCAAACCAAGCACTTTCATGCAGTGCCAGCGTCCGATTTGCAATTCGAGTGAAGTGCCCTGCGCCGCAGAGTAGCAAACTTCCAATTCAGCTATATGCCACATGCACAAGTCGTCAAAGTGGCGATGCATTGCAGTCTGGACGATGCTGAACCTGGCGTGGCACCGAAACTGCATCTTCGGTACGTCGTCACCTAATTTCGACGATCTGTCAGTAAGAATGAAGGCGGGTGCAGGTCAGCAGTCACACCTGCGGTGAACTAGCATACCCGGAGTCTTCGTGCAGAGTTCACCCCGTCCTCGGTCTTTCTGCCAACCGATGTTGTCTGCATGTCATAAAGTGTACGTGAGTTGGGCGCTCATGCTGTGAGTATCGCATTTTGTGCTTTCGTGCCTCGGAACCAAGGAATTTCAACGTCACCGTGTAAAGTAGCTATCTTGTCTTTGCTTTGGACACGCGTGCTCTTTGTGCTTCCTCGGGTGAGCCCTCACTTGCCATTCTTGCCCACCTGTCTCCGCCCCGTCTTTGGCTTTCTATCCCATTTAACTTATCCTTTCTGTTTGCCTCATTGATTGTTCATCTTCTTTTTGCTGCTCGGAATCCCTGCGAAGGTAGCTATTTCCTCATTCAGACAGCTTGAGGCCATGTGGACATGCTTAAGTCTCGAGAATGTGTTGCCACCGCACATGCAATTTAGGCTACTCCGAACCCGCCAAGAAGGGGATCAAAGCCTTGAAAACAACAGAGCAGGAGTCTTCCACTTCGCTGGTGTTCTTGCAGAGTCTATGTGGCCTGGCATCTGCTAGAGAGACCCTAGACCCCAAAACTCACAAAGCCACGCGACGGAGGTTAGAGTTCTGTGGCCTGTTTTGTTCTGATTCTGTTTCTGGTCAGACTGACGATTTTCGGGTCAAAGCCGAGTTTCACTGCGAGCGAGCTTGGATGTGGATGGTCAAAGAATAAATACAACGGGCAGCTCGTGCACCTGTACATCCAAACCAAAAAAATGTGTGACATCGGAACCACTGCTTGGCCAGACTCGCACCACGCTGGCCTGCATGGCTTTCAACTTCATTTGATTGGAAGCTTGGCTCAGCTCCCAAGGTTCTCCAACCTTGGACTGGAGCATTTCCAAGCCGCGTTCGCCGGCAAGGCACTACGGCGGTGCGGTGCTGCTTTTAGCTTTCGACTTCCAACGACGCACCGCGTGGAGCCCTTGATCGCCTTGATCACAAGTTAACTAGTAATGGGGATAATTACTCTGCAGCTTATGAGTTTCTCCAGTGTGTCGTTCGCGGTTAGCATCGTAGTTCAGTCTACCCGCGCCACGATCGCAGATTTCTGTGATGAACTCAGCAAAGGCTCCAAGCACTAAGTGCACAGCTCCCAAGCCAACGTCGTCTAAGGCAAAGCAACCCACGCCTTCCGAGCGGCCCATGTCAGGTCTTCGGGGCGCAGAACCTCTGGGAGGAGTGCAGCGATGCGCTTCGGCGGAGGTGGGCCATGTGAGAGAGCCTAGAGTGCGGATTGTACCTAGACGTGATGACAGTTGCTTCTGAAAGACGCTCCGAAGTATGCCTTGGCTTGCTGTCGAAGCAGTCTGCAGACCGAAAGACAAGTACCTGTTCCGAAGACACGAGTGCTGGTGCCCAGTGACGTCTTCCTCACAGCTTCCTCGGTGGTGGCCCTGTTGGGGGGTCCGGGCCAAGGCGCGAGCTTTCGGAGATTTGGACGTTTTGGGATCTGCGCTATGCCGAGTTGCTCGCGTCCAACCGTCCAACATTCGTTTGCCATGCTGCACCATGTTCGACCTGTGCATATTCTTGAGCCATGGAGCTGCAAGCTCGTGGTGCACGAATGCGCCACTTGGAATTTGAAAGTCCACGAGGCCCTTGCTTGATCTTTCTAGATTTTGATGGAGGTGCCCAAGCCCGAAACCTGCACTCCGGTCCTTTCCACACACTACCTGGAGAGGTGCCTATGCCGCTGCCAACGCTGCTCTGGAGCGGCTAACGGAGGTCGCTCGGGGGCTGGACATCCGAACCCTCTTGTAGCCGTTGCAGAGCATTGCGGAGCCATGTTCAGCTGGGCATGTAGCCAGTCATGCACCATTCCGCAGGCAAGGCTCGAAGCGTAGCGGTGCAGGGGCACATTTTGTCCTCTGAACCGCGTCAACCGTCGAGCCTGCTCCAAGCGTGGGTTTCATGTCCCCATGTTCCCAGTTGCAGTTGACAGTGGAACAAACGAGCATGCATCCCGTGGATGTCCGCATTGTCCCGGACCGGTATCATTCTGTAAACCGTCCAGTCCGCTTCCCTACTCTCTACACTTTGGCCATGTCGGCAGCTGTCTACGCTGTACATGCGGCCAGATGGGCGCAGTCGAACCATCGGGTCACAATGCAGGATTTGCAGGACTCACTTTCACAGAACTTTCCAGTCGCGTGAGTTGGTCGTCCATTTGCAGCACTTCACTACTGCCTGCGAGTTCGTTTCACGCAAGCGCCTTCTTTAGTGTAATCGCCGTGTAGCAGATAGCTTTGAAGCTGAACCCCTCACTCTTACATCTGCACCTTAAGTCCAAAGCTGCTTTGGCAGCCAGAATGCAGCTTTCATTCCATCAAGTTAGGCATCACCATCAGCTGCAGCTACGATCCACTAGGAAAATCATCCAAACCCGAAGTCGAACGAATCCCGCAAGGAGCTTGGCACTGAGATGTTCAGAAGGCCCCTGCAAGTCGAAAAATGTTCGCCAGCTTCTCCGAACTTATACACCAACCTTGTGCAGCTGCTGCTTTCTTTCTTCTTACCTCATCTTGTGGGCTTGAGGCTTGTCTATGCTTCTGCTGTTTCGATTTTGAAGGGATGGTATTCGGATCGAGGTGTTATGCTGCTTAGGGGAAGACTCGAGCTTTGTGATTGCAGCATGCCGGATGTTGGCGCAGACACTGGCGGTGTTCCTGAAGGGACCTCGGTCCCACCCGACGAACCGGGATCGCAATCCGACGTGTAGCGGCGCATGCCAACCCACAAATCTCTTCCTACGGCTTCAGGTTAACCTGGGCAACGACACCGAAGTCCCCGAAGCACTTCACCGATGTGGTGTACAGCAGTATGCTTAAGGAGTGGGAGCAGGAGCAGGCCTGGACTCTAGCACTCGTCGAGGCTTACACGGAGACTCATGCATAGGACTCAGCGGCAGATCTGAGAAGTTTCACACTCAAACTGATACATTGACATTGACCAGCTTCCCGCGCCTCAGTTTTTCCCGAGACCCGGGGCGCCGTTTCGAAAGCTCCCTGACTCCCGCTCCCAGACCCCATGCTACTCGACATAGGTTGCTCCATGTAGCCAGGTCATATCGGCAAATGATGTAGCGGTGCAAAAGCATGTTTTGCCATCGTTTTCAAACACGTGAGGACTCAGACTTGGCAGTTGACGAAAACAGTTGTGTGCTGGAGAGAATGGAAACGGCTTCACAAAATAGCTAGCAGGTCGCAGGCTGGAAAGTTGGTTTCGCATGTTGGAGCTGACCAGTATTCATCTCGAGAGAGTCATTACGCCCAGCTCAGTCATCAGGCTGTTTGGTCGAGGAAGCATCAGAGAGCCACAGATCCTACCCAGCACCCTCTTCGGCCCATCGTTCGTGACGAACTTTAGGACTGTCTGGGATGTACGGGGATCCTCCTTCTTCTGTTACTGTTAAGTGTCGTGAGCTTTCCTTCCGTTGTGCAGGCCAGGCTGCTTTCTCGCTGCTGGCGGGGTCGGCTCAAGGCAGTACCCAGTCTCTGGGGCTTTGGGGTCCGATTTGGACTATGGTGTCTCCTTGACCGAAGAATTCAGTAGTCCCAGGAATTAAATGGGCCAGATGTCTGAGAAACAGCTGTTGGAGCCACTGAGCAGAAAAAAGTGTGTTCCGCGTCTTCGGGTTGGAGCTTGCGACAGATCCCGATCCAGCATCACGGATCGAGGTTGAGACGTCGAGGGCTTAAGGCTTATGTTCGAAGGTATGTGCGGCTTATAGACTTTAGGTGTGTTTCAATGCACAAGTCAAGGGGCTCAAAAGAACGGCACTTGGCACGTTGTTTGCTGCAGGGCCTTCGCCTGGAGTTGACCTCCCGGGCCAAGGCTGCTCAGCAGTGGACTCTTCGCAGCTCTGCTTTTCAATTCCATACATTTTGCTTTCAGCTGTGCAGTGGAACTGGGAGTGACTGGGAGTGAGTTTTGGAGGATTTTGGGGTCCGGCTTGGTGTCGCACAGTAGTTGGGGGGCGGAGGTTGCTCGTCAGACTCAATACTGGCTGGTCTCCCTGCACAGCAGCGTTTCCTGAATCAGGATCCTGTATCCGCTGTCTGTTTCGCAAGCCCACCATTCTTGCTACAAACCCACCCGCCTGACCTCAATGCACAGTCGGAGCGGATAGTTGCTGCAACTCTGACACGCCTTGGCGCTCAGGTAACCCCATCACCACTTCGAGCCTGGCCGGGCTCACCTCAACGGTCGCGAGCAGCTTGCTAAGTTGGTCCTTGCGCGGGCTCCAAACCCGGAATCGGAATCCTGTGAACGCCGTCCCCACAGAGCCTGCCGTGCGGTGGCATAAGGGGGTCCAGAATCATCGAGGTGACTTCCTCGTGCAGCGCTACTTCGAGAAGCGCGAGTCTACGGATCTTCGGCGCAGCGCCATCATGGGTGCCCTGTGCCGAACTCGCCTTATTCGGCCACTTCCGCATAAGACTCCTCGCTCCGTAGGTAAACATGGACAAGACAGAAAAGGGTATCGGGTATCTAGTCGGCACAGACGACCTGAGACTGAGTTCTGGCGAGGCTGCGGTGTCAGGGGTTCGTGTCCGAAGATAAAGCCTTCCTAAAGATGGAGTGGGCAAGCCGGTGAAGCCGGCATTGGCGGCAATCGAAGGCCTTTTCGGACTCGGTTACATTGGCTTCCTCCAGCACTTCCTCTACACGGGCTTCTGGCCAAAGTTCCTCAAGGCTGGTACTCGGTGCACTTCTGGGGACTGCATGGGGCGAACTCTCTGGGCCGAGGTTTCCCGGCTCACGGGTCCCAAAGCAGTGCTGTTCCAGGTCTTCGGCGATCAGGGTGCTTTGGTCTGCACCCCAAGTGCCCGAAGCCTGACATCTATCGTCCCAAGCCGCTGTAGCCGAGTCTCTGAGCTGCCTACAGCTTCACTGGCAAAAGCTTGACGGTGGACGTTTCGCTTCTTGTGTTGCTACGTGTCCTTAACTGAATGGCAGTTCTCAGGGAAGTTCCCCTTTTTCGGACACCTCAAACGCACAATCCGCTGACTGCCGAACTCCAGGCCTCTACATGCCCTGCGCGTATCTGCCCGTCTTCTATACAGTGAAGGATCGAATCTGCAAAAGGCGTGAGCTCTAGGCTTTTATTGTCACGCAGACCCCTAGGTCGCGATCAAACGATCTGCTCAAGCACAGCATGCTTGAAAGAAGGCAGGCAACTGATGACCCCAAAGGATGGGAGCGCACTGATTCAGAAAAGACTACCTAGAAGGGCCCTAGAAGTGAGCAGCTCTGTCCCGGTACTGAGCCCGTAGCACTTGCATCCACCGAAGACCAGAGTAAAAGCTCAAGCGCAGCCCTCCTCGAGGAGATGGCTGGACCGACAGGTCTCCTCATTACCACCTCTGAGGCAGGAAACCTCTGCACTTCTCCTGCTTTGCTGCTTTGGCCGGTAGGCGCCCCAGACCTCCCCAAGACTTTGCACACCTTGACAAGCTCCCCAGAGCTCCAAGGCTTTTTCAGCCCTGGCCCTGAGCCTCGAAGCCTCGATTGCAGGCAGCTGTTGCGGGAGTGGCCCGATACTGGGAAAACCTGCGATCTGATCTGCAGCTCCTGGGATCCTACAGCACAGGAAGTTCTGAGCCCTAGGGAGTCAATCTAGGCTTCAGGTTTCTGTTTGATCACGTTGATTCGGGATTCTTGAGCTTTGATTGCTGAAGCTGAATTTACAGCAATTTTACATGGAGAATCGTTCTTTATGTATTGCTGGGTGCTTGCATGGTGCTTGCAAAATCGAGCGCCTACATGGGGAACGGCTGGTTTTGATTTGCCGCTTGATGCGATGTCGCTGATGTGTTTCTGGAGCTGGTGCTTGCTAAATCGAGCGTCTACATGGGGAATGGTGGGTTTTGAATTGCTGTTTGCTGCGATGCCACGGATGTGTTTCTTGTGCGGGTGCTTCTGAAATGGAGCGTCTACATTGGGGAAGGGTTGGTTTGGGGGTGCTGTGATGCCACTGATGTTTGTCAGCAGTGTGTGTGCGTGTGCTTCCATCTTCTTGGCACCGCCTTTGGCGATTTTGGGAGCCAGTCAACTCCGATCTCCCGTGGGCACACCAATCTCGCAAAGGTTTTGCACCCTGCGTCAGGCGCTTCGTTGCCTCGTTGGCTGTTCTCAGGGCCCAGCACGCATCCGGCGTTCCCCACTGACCGATGGTTGCGCGACCTGCTTGGTCTTGTCGCCTCGCCTCTTTCCAGCCCGATTGTGCTGCCACTTCGTGCCTCGCTGATCTTCCGATCTGGGCCGCTGGGCTCTGTTTGACACTGCTCGGCCCTGTTTCACTACTGTTTTCATGTCTCTCTGCGTTCTGTTACAGTAACGGGCTTTTTTTTTGGGATTGCATGCTGTAGCCGCTCTGGACGAACCATTCTGCGAGTGAGTGAGTTTCTGTTTGAGATTATAAGATCTGGGCAAGGAGGAATTTGCTGCTTTTTTACCGGATGTCACATCGACAAAAGCTCCAGAGGACAGTTTAGAATCTGTTTAGAACCTCTAATCAGTTCAATCTGCAGTGCAGAAGCCTCACTGCATCGCAGGGTGAAAATACGGCCATTGTGGTTAGATCCAAAAAGCCCTAAGTGGCGGCCCCGTTGCTCTCGGCCCAATCTGCTTGGTTTGCACCAGCCTGGAAGCAAGCTTGAAGCAAGGCTTTCTGCTTGGAGCCAAGACACTGGAGAGAGAGACCCAACACAAAGACAAATGTCGTGTTCGCAGGCTCGGGTTGCGTTCTTCGGTTGAACAAGAAGAGACGGAATCTGCATTTCGTCGTCCACTGACATGTAGACAGCCTCAGTGATGTAGGAAGATCATGTGGGCATTTCTGCCACAAAGTCTTTACGCTCTGTTCCCCTTTGCGATTGACACATGAACTGCGTTCTTGAGTGGGAGCTCCGAAATTGAATCTTTCCTTGAATCCATCATGGTTAAGTGGGGAATCTGTTAAAATGTGTCTCGACAGCACACTTCACCAGGCATTCACGGATGGTTTCCCCATGCTATCCAACTGAAAATTTGCACGCGCATGAAAGCTGTCTTCGACTGTGACCAAGCTCCGCCTCCACTTTATGAAGTTGCACCCTTGGCTCATGTTCTGAGGCTTTGCTATTGCTACTGGCTCCCCATGCAGGCCTGCTATCATTTCAGTGCATAAATCGATCGCCGAAACGCATCGGCTGAACGCAGCAGAGAACAGAGAATGTGCATAAGAACTGGGTGGTTGCGGCGGAGTCGCAGAGCGCCTCAACCCTTGATACGGCTGTCTGTGACTGAGCTTTTGCTTGGAAGGGGATCAGCTTCGGTGTCATCCCCACCGCCCTGCGTGTGGTGTTCATGCTTCCAGCCTGCACTGAAGTTAAATCGAAAGGGGTTCAAAGTGTGGCGGCGGATGACGGCTTCCACGTTTGACATGCGAGTCCGTGCCATGAGTGATCATGAATGTCGTGACTGATTGATAGGTTTTCGGGACGGTTCAACAAGAAAGTAAGAAAGTATGTACTTCGGATTCCCCTTGTTCGGCAGAAGCAGCTAGAAGCGAAGGACGAGATGCACCGCTTTGGTATGGTTTAAGTTTAGGCGGCTCCTGGTTTTGCAGAGGCATCTGTCCGTCCAAGGGGCGGGGGTGGGCGGGGGGTGGGGGTGGGCATTGGGGCCTTTCCGCGAGGTCGGTTGCCTCCCTGGGATGGCAACTGGGTCTCGGCGTAGCGCCTCGGCGAGAAAAGTTGCTGTCGCTGCTGTCGCTGTAGCCTGGGCGCACGCTTCCTGGGGTGTTTTCTGCAAGTTTTCGCGCAGCTTCTGTGACTTTGACTTCGCTTGCCCTCCATGAAAACAGAGGTCTAAAGGCAGAGGAGGCCCACTTAATCGCATGCAGGCATCTTTCAAGAGGTTTTCTGTGGTTGGGCTACAGCGGCTGCAGGACAGCAAAACTGCCCCGTTATCTTCGTATACGTTCTTAAGCCTGCAAAAACCTCCCATGACTTGGATGCAATCCCAAAGAAGGCCCGAACACTCACGCCGGAGCCAAACACTCTATGGCAAGCCCCAGGCTATGCTCGGATCCTCTGGTAGTTGAATGATACGGGCGCGCCGCCCCGCAAATGCTGCAATGTCAAGGGGGAGCCTTCGAATTTTAAGCGTAGTGCGTAGCTATTGCGTCTCAGGACTTAGGTTTTCTTGACATTTTCTGGCAGTCTTCTCATGCGTTCACGGCCAACATGCGGCTCTATCCTTGCCTGCGCAGTACCTGGTTAGGGCCGGAGGTACATTGCCCTCCTCTGTCGATTGCTCGGGATTGGCAGGGTGCCTAAGACGAGAAGGTAAGGTGCAGACCCCCATCATGAGCCTTGAACCACTACCGCTACCCGAATCTACTCCAATCTACATCTCGAGAGCTCGAGCTCGCCTTGAGCACTTGGCCTTCCGAGCGCATCGAAGCCCCTGCCACAGCGGCGACTGTAGTGTACAGGAATTAGGTCCCAAGGTGGACACGCTGCCTTTCCATATCTATCAACAGGCCTCTCTGGTGGGCGTATCTGAGATATTGAAGCAATCTAGCAGCGTATTTTCCTTTTTGCGGTGCCTTGCTGTTTCCAGACCTGGTGATTTGCTGAAGCTCGGTGGACTGAGCATCGGCAAAGGCGAGTGCATGGTTCTCTTCGGCTGTATCTGTGGGAGCCGCACGGTTTTGACGAGTCATACGACCTGGACAGCCGGCAGATCACGGACTACATCAAGAGGATGGTTTTCACTCGAGAGGTTGTATGTCTGCAGGCCGGGCTCCCACGAGACCTGCATAGAACTTGGCAGCAGCTGCGTTTGAAGCTTTTCGCTAAACTAACTAGACTGATTTTCCTGCAAGCGAGAGGGGGGCATGAAGAGATCAAATTCACACAACTAGAGGGCTCGGCCGAGGATCGCCCCCGAGACTAATCTGTACCACGTTGCAGCGGCTAAGGCTTGTTTTGTTCCGCGCTTGCTTGACACCGACCCGACCAGCCTTTTGCAATTCGCAGCAAACGTCACGCAGTTAGCGTGAAATTCGATTGCACACTTCAGCCCTATGCAGCGAGTGCGCAGAATCTGGGATACCGCAGTTTACGAATTTGATGCATCGGCAAAGGCTGAGACACTCGCTGCTTTTGTTTACATGTTGATAACCCAAGTTCAGGACGCCAAACTCGAAGCTCCTCCTAGATTGAGACTCGAGTCGAAGCCCACTTCACGGATGCTTTCGAAGTAGTTCAAAGCACCAGACAGATGGCCGTTGACACCATGGAGTGACAACCATGACAGTCAGCGAGTTCATGCCAATGATGTGAAGAAGCTTGCATGATTGAAATCGTGCGTATTGTAGTAGTTTGCACTAGCAGTAGCAGTCGCAGTAGCAGTTGTCGCATGTAGTATCATATAGTAGCAGTAGTAGCATGCAGAAGCAGTAGCAGTAGTAGTAGCAGCAGCAGTAGCAGTAGTATCAGTACTAGTAGTACGAGCGCTTCTAAGTAGCAGTACCAGATTTGAGTAGTAGGAGTAGCAGGAGTCGGTGTAGGAGCAGGAGGAACAGGAGCAGCGGGACGAGGAGGAGGAAGAGGTAGTGGTAACTGGTTATTCTCAAGTTGTTTTTTGTTGTTATTGTTATCGTTGTTGTTATGACCGTTACAGTTATGATGACGACGATGATGAATGTTGTTGCTTATTAATTGCTCTTCCTATATATTGCTGTTGTTATGATTATCATGATGATGACTACTATTGGTATTGGTTATTTGTATTGGTCTTGTTTGAAATTGCATTCTATTATACTATATACTTCTATGCTAATATAGTGAAGCACAAATATAGTATAGTATGGTATAATGTACTATATGTTTGGTATTGTTCTCATTGCTATTTCGTTGTTGTTAATGCTACCAGTATGACAATTCTTATACTGATATATCGTCATCATTAACGAATATCTTTAGCATTACAATTACTACCATTAATATTTTTTTTACTTTTTTACCATTACTGTTACTAACCATATAACTAACTAACAAAAATTATGACTATACTAGTACTATGACTATTGCTATTACTGTTACTGTT